ATATGTGTAAGATTGTCTGGAATTTCTTTCTTTGATTCAACATTGTAAAGCAATAAGTAAATTATTTGATAGGGTTCATCAAATTTCTTAAAAGTCTGTGGGTACAATGTACTTCTAAATAAATATTCTAAACATGCATCTCATGTAGTAGGATAAAAGAGTTTCATTGGAATCTGAAATAGAAAAAAAAAATAGAAAAATAATAATATCTATATAATAAATAAAACAATAAAATTCAAATCAGTTTAAATGTTAATTTTATACAAATGAGAATATACTTTTAAAACGTTTGAGATTGACACCACATAAACTAAAGATGACCAAACACCAGATTGAGAAATATTTAATGCTTCAGCCAAAATAGCATCAACTTTAGACATTTTAGCTTCAAATGCAGTACATGCAACATTGGATATTCCTAACAAGAAAGCGGATCTTTCTGATCGAAAAACACCATCTTGAGGAGTTCTAGACATAAGAATAAATTTAATTGCAAATACACCCACATACACGCATACAAACATACACACGCCCACACACACACACACACACACACACACACATTTTTTGACTGTAAATCAAGAAGTTCTTTTGATATAGCAAATCTAGCACTAACTAAAAATTCTAAATATCTATTCATCCATTGCGTTAGTCAGCTGGACACCAAAAAAACTATAACAAAGATTTTACCTGACAGACACCATTGAACATGTTTCTTCGTTTAAAAGTTTATCAGCATACAATCTAGCCAAACTATGACTTGCTGCAACATCCATAAAACCATCGGCTCCACCAGACAATTTATATAAAATATAGATTCCATCAGAGTTTTTCTGGGAGCGCTTGTTTAATTTGCCAGTGTTACTTAACTTAATATGATCAATTAAAGAATGGTTGTTTGCTTTTAACGCTTGATAGAGCTCCATTGCACTCATTAAAAAAATTAATTTTTTTTTTTTTTTTGCTACACTTGCTACAGGTTCTCGCTTGATGACCTTTAGTCCTAACTTAAAACCTCCTTGTTAATAAAAAGATTGCATATAAATAGGCATAATTTTTATAAATTATCAGGGGGTATGTATAGAGTAGTTTGAAATAATGACCACCTGACTTTTGCTACAGTTGCTACAGTCGATTTGCCATTTTATTTAACACCCAGTCCATTTTAAGTTGATACGCTGCGAAATGTTTGACATTCTTTCAAAAATATTTTAGCATGTGAGACAAAACCCAAAAAACTTGGGTTTTTTATTATATTTCTGAATGCAATATTTCCGTAAGATAGTCATTTTGGCTCAGCTACAATTATAAATAAATTTTTGGAGCGCCGCGTCTTCACCACTTGCAACCTATCTTGTTAAAATTATATTCTTCTTTTGCATGAAAAAAAGAATGTATATATCAAATATAAAAAAAAAGCCTTGATCCGCCCCTGACTCCTATATTCTTTTAAAACTTATATGCAATAAAAACCCAGAAACAAATATGATCTAAAAAATAACAATTTTATTTATCAACATTATTTGCATAAAACTTTGGAAGATCTCCTTATCATATAGCGGAGCTTTACTGTGGAACTAAATAGTTTTAAAAAGTTTTGACTTTCCCCAAAGTTGAGTATATAGTTTTAAAGAGTTTTTCTACCTTCAAAAATAAACTGAAAAACATTATTTTCCTAATAGATAATATATTCGAGTTCTTTTGACCTCGATCCTCTTTTATAAGTGTTTTCTAAATGTACTTAAAAATAGAGAAACAGAGCGTTGCCTTAAAAGAAGATGTAATCAAATAAAATTTAGGTTTTCTAATGCATTCAATAACATGGATAATTATATTACTAGGAAAGTCGTCATATCCACACAACTTATATTGCTCAACAATCAACTCTTGATAGCTCGATATATATATATATAAATATATATATATATATATATATATATATATATATATATATATATATATATATATATATATATATACATATATATATATATATATATATATATATATATATATATATATATATATATATATATATATATATATATATATATATATATATATATATATATATATACATGTAAAATATACAATCAAAGTGTTATTATACTTATAAAGAATTTAATTTATTTTCATATAAAAATTTAGCACTGTTTCAGTTGCCTACCACCCTCATTTTATAATTGAAGAGAATTTCATGTTGATTAAGAATCGTATAAAAACATTAACCTGAAAATTTGAGGAAAACACTCTAATTTGATGTTGAAGTTTAAAAAATTACACTAAAAACCCTATTTTGAAAAAATTTGTGTATACTGCAAATTCATATAAATTTTTGTAAAGTTATACATATTTTTATAGCAAAAAAATATTTTAATGTTTTCACTTTTGTTACATTAATACTTTTATTAGAAGATTTTAAAGAACTTTCCAACGCACAAATCTATTAAATTATAAAAATTAAATTATATTGTATTTCCGAAATATTAGTACATTTGCGTCGGCAAACTCTCGTATCTAAATTTTAACATAATTTCAACGTTATTTCAACCTTAATTTTTCAACGTTAAATCAGCGTTTGTTTTTAGTTGAAAATCAGCGATGAATCAATGTTGAAATTTCAAACGTTTTTTGTTTTTTTTAACGTTGAACTAACGTTGAAATTTAGATCGTTATTTTTTAACCATATATCAACCATTTCTCAACGTTGAAAAAACGTTGAAATAACGTTATGTGCTTGCTGGGACTGCACTTTTTTACCCAAACAACACATACTTAATTTTTTGTTGTCGACCTTGTTTTCTGCACAGATTTAACTTTGACGTAAACTGTTAGTAGTGTCCTAATAGGTACTATTAACACACCAACTAGTAATAATTAATAAACATTTTCATCGCTAGAGGTATTATTTTTTGGTACAAATTTTTGCTAACTTTCAGCTCAGCCATTTGTGTGCCTTTTGGTTTAAGTGTAATAATTAAATCATGGGTTTTCTAATAAGTTTAATATGGTGTTATTCAGTTGTAATAAATGGTGAATTTGTATTTTTTAAGTAAAAATGGGTTAAGTAAATTCAAAAAAAGATTATATTACATACTTACTAGCAAATGTAAGCTTAAACAGAAAGAAAACATGTCTAAGTCTATACATTAAAAAAAAAAGTTATTTAACGTTCACAACGTTTGTCAAACGTGCTCGAACGTTATGTGTTAGCTGGGAATGGCTCGTCAATTACATTATTGAATTTTTTTGCATTTTCAATGTTGCCTCCGTTCTTAAATTGATTTGTCGATTCCGATCTTCAGTATTCAATTGCATTTCACTTGATGTAATCTCACAGAATAAGCAGCAATGACGGCCTGTGAAATAACATAGTTGTTACATAAATTTTATGTTCTTGTTACAAATAAGTTATTTAACTTTTATAATTTTTGCAATTTCATTTTTTGTAATTTAATTTAAAATACAAGCTTAGTGAACAAAAAATTAAGACTGACCAGGTGCTCCTGTGATGCCATAGATAGCACACATAAATGCATAAACATCAAATATAAACACAGGCAAATAATTCTTTTCCCTAAAGTTATAATTTAATAAAATTTATTTAAAATTTTTTTTATTTCAAACAATTTTTTTATAAATCGAAGTGCAAATACTTTTCGGAAATATATAACTATTAGCCTCTATTTGTTTGTTTGAAGCTGTCTAATTTCATTTATGTGTCTTGAGAGCCCAGTTTTATGGTTTGCTCTATAGTCTTTGGCCTTAAATATATTAAAAACTGTTGTATTATTCTTTGAATTAGGTTTAGAAACATTAGCTATCTGATAGCTCATTTTAAATGAACCACCTCCGTGGTCGCCACCAACCTTTACATGTATTTCACTAGGATTTATCTTTTCATATGTTAGTTGGTTAAATCTATAATAATAAAGATGAAATTGTTTATTTATAAAATAAAGAATAATTTTGTACTAAAAATTTAAGGAAAACTTAAATATATTTTGAACTTGCCTTTCTAATTCATCTAGTAACTTGATTAAATGCGATGGTAAATCATTAATATATGCTAATGGAATTTCTTTTATTTCAAAAGTTCCTTTTTTATTTTTGAATTCAAACAGAAATTTTTTGTTTTCAACAATCAAATTATCACCTGACCAATATTTTGAAACTTTTTGCTATTTAAAAAGTGACAGTAGTTTGATATTTTTTTGTGTAAAAAAATCTAAAATAAATAACTATATATAAATATATGTGTGTGTGTGTGCAGGGCCAGATTAACATCTACGGTCTCAAAGCACTTACTTAATCATTTTTTTCACCTTTTCCAAAGGTAAACCACAATCTGCCTTTCGTAATACAATATCTTCTGACGCTATCTGAACTTATGGGATTTTTGCTTTTTTCAGTATATTAATTTCATCATTTTTATTAAAAGAATTAAGCATAAGAGCTGCTTGATTTATTTTTTTATTTTTTTGCTGGTCCTGCATTTTCAATAAGTGATTGGTGTATTTGATTTTGACGCCTTTTAATAGTTTTCTGACTTATACTATTTAAAGTTTTATAGATCTTTGGAGTCACTTTTAGCTGTATAGCCTGTTAAAGACCAATTATTCAATTATAAACTCTTTTTTAAACTATTATTTTTTTATATAGAATATTTTAATTTAAAAATAAAAATAGATTACCCGCGGACCACCTGAAGAGAGTTCAACAAAATATGACTTGTTTTTTGCCATTTTTAGTTTTTCAAAGTGAGTAAATGCATATCTAACTCTTTAGGAACTTCAAATTTCTCATTTATTTTATATATCTCTGTAACTGTCAATGAAGAGCTAGATGATGGGGAACTATATTTTGATTTGTTGCTAACTTTACATGTTTTTTCATATTCTTCCGTATAGCTTATATTTTTTGCAGTCAATTTTTCTTTGCATGTATTATTACAACACTTTATAACTAAATTCTCAAGTATAGTTTGTATATACATTGCTTTATGTTTTGCATTTAGTTTCTGTTTCTATGTTTCCAATTATGTTTGGAAAAATGCACGTTGCACAAAACAAATGATGACAATTATTAAGTAAAACAGGTTTATCTAACAAACTTTTAAAAATGTTGCATTCATATAAATCTTTATGTGGATTATCAGCGACACCAATAGAATCATGGCATAAACGAGACATTCCAGAAAAACTTTCCATTATTTTAAAAATTGACTCCCTTGTCCAAACAACTTTGTCATTTAATGGTAGTCTTTCACACTGATTTTTTTTCTTCCTACCAGATTTTTTCAAAAAACATATGCATCTTTCAATGAAACAAGGTTGTGACCATTGACTTAAACTGAAATTAGAGGTTTTTCCTCCTTGTTCGATATTTCTCAAGTTTGTATAGCATTTCATGCAAATTTGAGGTGGGTGGGTGTCCATTCTATCTTCTTTCAGCTCAGTAAATAATGCCTATTTAATTCTAATCTTTATATTTTTAGTGTTCATTAGATCGTTGCCAGTATAGTTTTCACAGAGTCTGCACAGTTTCATAAGACATGATATGTGATTAGTAGGAACAACAGTAGATATTTTTAGATTGGATACCGTATATCTTTAATCCAATTATTCGATAACTTGAAAAATGACTGGTTAATAAGATTTTTTTTCTAAATGAATTTAGATAATAGTTTTAGAAACCGTTGAGTTCTTGCTTTCAAAAATTGAATTAAAAAAGTTAAAGAGTTCAGAAAAAACATAAAATTTAAAAAATAGTACTTTTTATTATAGCTCTTTAAAGATTGTTAAAAAGCAATCGAATTAAACTTTTTTTAATTATCTATAATATTTTGTCTCATAAAACTTTACAACACTAAGAAAAACTAAGTATAATAGTTTAAAAACGTTTTACTATTTTTGGTATCTCAAAGTACAAATAAAAATTAAAGTAAATATCTAGAGGAAAACGGAAAATCTCCGGAGACGCATGTGCACTATAAATGTCTGATACGTATCAAGATTAAACGACCGAGGAGAGAATAATGTTGAACTAAGAACTTTGTTATTATACATGGCGCTATGAGTAGGATTATTATAGATAAAAAAATAACATTGAATAAAACATAAAACCGTGCAGATCAAACAATAGAAAACAAAGTCAAAATTAAAAGTCAACGAACTAAATAAAGAAAATAATAATAATAGTTAGATTCTAAGCAAGACAAAAACAAAAAGAAAGAATCCTTTTTTTAGAGATAAAACCGATAACAGCAGTATGGCCTTGATAAAATCAAAATATCAAAACAGAAAGCAAAAACCGTTACATCCTTTACCAATCCCAAAAAATCAAATTTTGAAAAGACCATCTAAAATTTATTACAGAGGATGTGACAGAAGCCTACATCCTACAATACGAAAACAATGCTCATGACATGGATTTATGTAGTCATCAAGTTTTTAATGCAACGAGTCATACACTATCCAAACGCGGTTGCCCAAATCAAATAACCTATCGGCAGTTACCCGAGTAAATGCCTTTACCTGTCACAATGGAAAACTGTACGAAAATTGAAGATTGGATAAAAGATTATTTATTACGCTAGATATTACCCTAACAGCACATTTAATACCTGCACATATCAGGAATTACAATCAATGACAGAAAAACCATTAGATACCACATTCATATAAGGATCTAATCCAAGTGCATTACACAAGCCAATACCGAGTCTACATCACTGGCGAGCTGAAGCAAAAAAAATCTCAATGCAGATGTAACACTAGATATTATTGAATCAATGCCACAAGGAACTTCTACCGTATGGTGTTCTTGAATGGTGATTGTACCAAAGAAAGACTGTTCATCTCGAAGAACAGTCAACTTACAATGCCTCAATAAAGCAACATTTTTGGAAACGCATCACATTAATTTACCTATTAACATCGTTAATCAAATCTCATCGTTAATCAAAGGAAAATTGAAAACTATTCTTGATGTTTAGAGTGGCTACCACAGTGTAACTCTGTCACAAACTGCCAAAAAAGCTACAACTTTTATAAGAGAATGGGGAAGTTACGGATACCTAAGAGCACCGCAGGGAGTTCCACGCATCAAACGATGGGTAGACAAAACGATTTGACAACATAACCCAAAACTTTTCAAGAGTTGTTAGATGTATTGATGATTCTTTATTCTGGGATAACGACTATGAGACTTCATTTTGGCACACAATGTCATGTATAAAATAATGTTTGGATAATGGAATAGTCTTCAACCCCAAAAAATTCCGGTTTGCCTTAAACAAAATCGAGTTTGCAGGATTCAAGCTAACATTAACCGGATATAGACCATCAAAATAAAAATTAAATGCTATAGAAAGTTTTCTTTGGCCTAAAAACATCATCGGAATTCGTTTATCGAATCCGAATCTTTAGCATCCGCAAAAAGACATTAATTTATAGTTTCAAAGTTGTTCCCCGGAATATATAATTACGCATCAGATGTAATATCTAGAATTACCTTTAATGTAGTTCTAGATATTGCATCCGGTGCGTAATTATATTTTAATATCTAGAATTAATGATTAAATTTTAATATCCAGAATTAATGAAAACGACCCTACACTTAAAGATATACCTGACGTCGAAAGCGCTTTATTAGGAACAAATTATTCAAAAATTATTCATTTTAATGGGCCAAATAAAATAGAATCATTGCAGAATCTGTTGACTCTACGTATCAAGATTTATTGTAATTATTAAAATCAGGATTCTGGAAAGAAAAAAAAAGTACGCCAACTCGCCTAACCGAATTTTGAACTAAACGTCATGAGCTATATGCTATAAATAACCGTATATTTTTAGACGGTAAGATCATAGTATCAAGTTAAACTAAGATCTGTTCTACCAAGGACTTATTAATAGATGGACGTTTAACGTGTTGTTTAAAAGTCTAGATATCCGCGCTATTCATTGTTACAAATAACAATAGCAAAACAATAGAGAACCGATGTTAATTATATTTAACTTGAGAATAATTTTATTTGATTTTGCGTCAAAACAACGATAGTCTCTCCTAGCCTAAGAAATATTTAAACATTCCATAACACCTAAAAACTCTGAAAAGTTTTTAAATTAATAAAGCCTTTTTATTATATGATCTTTAAACTCAAGCAAATTCTTTACATGGAAAAAAAATTAATCACAGAAAAATATCAAAACAAAATTGAAAGTGAGACAAAATTTCCAACAAATATGAGAAATTTAAATACTTAAAATAATAGTGAAAACTAAATATAGGGAATGGAGACCACAAGTATTATATAGTTCAATCTATATATGATCTACAATTTTACCTACAGCATCTAGAAAATTTGTTTCACTTTGCAGTATTTATTCTTGCAAAGTAAATATGACTTTTTACCAAAATACGATTTTTGTAAAAAAGTGATAACGTCTAAGTTTTATTAATAATAAGTTCTTATTAAAAAGCGCTCACGTATCAAGTTTGACATTTTAAAACAGAAGAGCTATTTATGATTAACTAAAATGCATTAATTAAAAAAAAAAAGATAGAGTTTTGTATGTAATTGAATTCTTTAAAAAAAGTAGTTAGAAAAGCGAAAATATCGGAAAAATGTCGGTTTACTTTTATTCATTTTCAATTATTCAGAAAAATGACGCTAAAAATTAATGCTCGCATAGATTTTTGTTTACTCGCGGCGCCTCAGATCTGTAACAATGGGTTACGTCCATCTAAATGTCCTTGGCTCTACTAAGTTATTTTGGCCATATAAAGTTTTTTTGGCCAGGAATAAGTTCTCAGATTCAAAACTAAAGAACACAGTGTCATAAAAATGAAAAATCTCCGAGCAATTTTTTCATAAAAATAAAAAATCTCCGAGCAATTTTTTCATGTTTATGAAAGGTTGCAAAATATTACCATCTTTTTTATTGAATTAGGGCTATAGATATATATTTATGTATTTTTGTATATTATGTATTCTTAAAAGTAAATATGTATCATGTGGTTTTTTATAAAACTGCATTTTAAAAGCTAATAAGATAAAAAAAAAAAAACTAATACTAAAACTAGAAATAATCAGCTGGATTGTCTAAAAGACGGTTTTTCTAACTATTTGTTATTACTTATAAATATAAATTTCAATTGGATCTCAAATTCCAGTTTACAACTATATGTCTAAATTACAGTTAAATAGTAGTTTTAAGCAAAATAGACATAAAAATCACTGTTTTTTTAATGTAGGGGAAAGGCGCCTATAATGGCATAGCGCCTATGATGGCATACCGGTCATATTTTCATAAATATTAGTTATGGCAAAAAAGTGATTACCAACATGTTTATACTGAATTTACATTAGTTTTAGTAAAAACACGTCCCTTATGCACAAATATTATTTCTATAATCAACAAAAATTGATTTTGGGATGTGCTGTTGTACTTTTATTCCCTTTAAATATTTAAGATTGTGATTTTATTATTAACTGCGCAGAAATAAAATTTTCATGCTTTTTGTTTCCAAGTTTTGTGCAATTAACGGGATACTTATTTTAATTTTATCTTTTGAACAAGAAAGACATAGCTTGTTTAAATGAAAATGACGACTTCTTCCTATGATGGCATACTGACGATTTAGGTGTGTTGCAATATTGACAAGTTGAGAAAATCTTTTTTTTTTTTTTTATAAAAATAACATATTTATTATTAAAGTAAAAAGGAATTTTTACTTTAGTAAAAAATTTTTGGTTTAAAAAACACATAAAACGCAATATCTCTTATGCGCATGCTTAAAATCCTACATTGCTGCTGTGTAGCACGAAAGGGTCAGTTAGGATGGTTTCGCGTAATTTCTGGCATTTCTGAGACAAGACACTAAGGTCAAATGAAATCATCGAGTTATCTTTGATGCTAACCAGCCCCATCCTCCCCTATGCCATCATAGGAACAGTAGTTGCCTATGATGGCATGCTTGTGCTTTTTTTTAAAATAAAAATAACTAATAAAAAAATAAAATTGATGAAAACTTTTGGGGCTATTGTTGTTTTACGTGTAACAAAGAATGTATTCACGTCAAAACTTTTGTTCTTGGTCTTCAGGATACTAAATAATGAAGCTTCAAAGTTAAGTATGCCATCATAGGCGCCTTTTCCCTAATACGTATATATTTACGATATCAGTCATCAGAAGGTATATGTTGTAATCTGGAATTTTAGATATACAAATTATGAATCCATGTCTGAATTTTTAGATCATAAGGTGCATCCTGGATGGAGTTTATCCACGAGTTTTATAGTAAGTTATTTTATTGGTAAATAGATAGTTCAGAAACCATTATGATTTTTTTAATAGGTTACTCGAAGAAAATTTATTTGGCGCCTAAAAATTAAATAAACTGTTTTCGTTACATCCGTATCCAAAAACTT